CCCCTCTCCCTTTTCCCCTCTCCCTGCTCCCGCTCCCCCCACCCCTCACCAGGGAGTTACACAAATGTACCTTTGTCATAGTGGTCTCTTTTGCCTCAGGTGTCACCTCCTCCAAGAAGCTTTCTCTGACCTTCCCTCTATTGTGGTCCCCCAGCCTCTGTGCTTATTATGATCACAGCCATTAGGACAAATATTCTGAAACTATTTTTTTATGTGTTTGCTCCCCATCCCTCAGAAAAATACCATGAACTTTTTAAAATTAGATCTTATTCCCTCTGCGTCCCTAGAATGTGTCCCAGGCCTTGGCATCTAGGGGTTGCTCAGTTAATATTGATTGGAATGCCCCATGTGAATGCCACTGGAAGTACACAGACAGAGGCTGGGCAAGCATTTACTGGGATATCATGGGGGTCTGAGCCCAGGATGGGCTGGACTGGGGTCCTAGAAGGCCAGTCCAGCTCCTGAGGCCCACCCAGCCTTGTTTGCCCCAGGCACCAGCAAGGTGGATTCCAGCCATGAAGGCCCAGGCCTCGTTCTGGGCAGCTGCTTTGAAATCTGGAGACAGGAGTGATTAGAGGAAGGGTGAAATGGGGCGGGGGTGGACCAAGCTGGGATGGGGCACGGCAGCTCTGTGCAGTGAACCAGATGTTTGGAAGGAGTGACAAATCTGGAGTCCGTCCAAGTCATTGTCGAGGACATTGTCTTAATGGTTTTGACAAGGCCTCGAGGACAAGTCTGTTGTTGCCAAGGGAGAACTTGGTGGTGGATAAAGAGGCAGCAGTGTGGTTTACCCGGGAGCCTCAGGGCTGGGAGTAAATTGCTGCTTGAGGAGGTGTTTGCTGGCAGCCGAGAGCACCCGGGCCTGCTTGTGGGAGAGCCGAGCCGTCCAGTCCTACCCAATGCGCAGGCGTGGATGCCTTAGGGGCGGGGCTGGGCCTCTTTTCCCTTGCATTTCACCTTGTCCTCCTGAAGTTTGCCCTTAAGCTTTCAAGGATCCATAGGTTTCAAGTTGTCTGTTGGGGTGAGAGCAGCCGAGTGGGGCTCCTGGGCCAGTGAGGGCCACAGTCCTCTTGGTGGGAAGGACAGAGGGAGGGTTCAGAGGCTTCCCAGGCCGCCGTGAAGAAACAGAGGCCCTGCTTATGGAGAAGTGGCAGGAAATGAGAGCAGCCAGGTGGGAGGATATGTCCAAAGCACCAGAGGAGCAGAGTGCGCTGGAGGGATGGGCAGGTGGCCAGAGGGACACTTCTGACTGTTGCGACACCTGGGCTGGCCGGCAGACTTCTTGGCCGCGTTTATCATTGTCCACCTGAGCCAGGTTGGCTGTTGCGGGTCCTTAGTCCGAGCCACTGCCCTGTGGTCATTGACATTCACCTAACCTGCCCCTGAGACCCCTGGAGGGGAGAGGTCTGCTCGCTATGTGCTCCCGACAGCCCTTGCATTTTTACCCCCTCCGGCAGGAATACCTGGATGCTATTCACCACCTGTACGAAGAGTGGCTCATCAAAGGGAGCCTTTTCCCCGTGGCGGCCCCTGTTCTGGTAAGCCCCCCTAACAGGGCGGGAGACTTTTCTAGAAGGAGGAGCGACTTGGGGGATGTCGGCCACTCTGCAGCTGGAGAATTTGAAAGAAGGAAGTGGGGAGGGTGGAAGGGACTCTGTCTCACAGTCCCTGTTCTGGACTGAGCCTTAGTGAGCTGGACAGACCTGAGAGAAGGTGACCTGTCCCAGTGTCATTACGCCGGTGGCACAGTAGCATCTCAGTTATCCAGCATTGTCAGCAAAGGAGAGTTCCAGATGGCTGGAGCCCCTGGACCTGGGTTTTGGCCTTAACCGCTTGGGGTGGTGGTCTTTCTGACATGCCCATCCTTTCTCCAGCTGGTGGCAGGCCCAAAGCCTCATTGCACCTTTTCTTGGTGACCCAGGGCATCTGAAGGAACGTCAGTTGCTGTTCTGGTCTGTCACACAATGATGCCCCCTTAGGAGGTGCTGAGGTGTGTAGGACTTTTTGCCCCAGACTACTAATGCCTTTGAATTCCCGTGTTTGCTTTTTACCCTCCTTTCTCCTGCTGGCACTCACCATTTCTAACTGTATTGATGCTTCTGCCCCATCAGTGTTTCCCCACTTCCTTGTCCCCTCGTTTTCTGATTTGCTGCTGCCAACTTTCTTTAGGCAGGCCATTGGGTCCCTCGGACTGTTAGGAACGCGTGTACAGTGTGGGATCTGAGGGAGGGCCTTGCACAAACTTGTGTGCATGGCCTTGGAGACATCTGTCTGAGCTCCTCAAACACTGTACTCATGGCTCTTCCAGGCAGTGAGGTTGCTGGAAAGTGAGATATTACTCTACTGGATTTTTAAAGAAAATTTATTTTTTTCCCCTCATTATAGAAAAATGGTTGATATCAAATGATGATCAAAAAATCATTCATGAGCTTGCTGCACGGACAACTATCGTGGATTCTTAAGTGAAAATACAGTTGAGAATGTGGATTGACCTAGAAACGGGAGCTGTTTGGCCCTAACCTTCCTTTTTCTCTGCCTGTGACCTTGGGCTTCCCTGCCTCTCCTTGCCTCATCCTGCCTGCCCCTGTCTCTCTCTCTTCATCAGTGAAGGGAGGATGATGTTGAGGTCAGGGGCAGCCCTGTGACCTGTATGTTTAATTTCCAGGTGATTGAGGCTGACCACGACATGGAGAAAATGTTAGAACTCTTTGAACGAAACCGGCACCGAATACTAATTCCAGAGGATCGGAAGCTTGGTCCATAGGATGGGGAAGATCATGCCAGAGAAATGCCCGCTGCTGCCAAGTTAGCTCTCACGAGCAGTTTGGAACAATCCACTCTCAGGAGGGCTTTCTATCTGGGCACATTTGTCTTCCTAATGGTCTTCTCTCCTTTGCCAGTGTCTTTATCCTGGGATTCTGGCCCTCGTGGGTAAATGACATGATGGGACCAATGGGTTTGTCTCGGCCCTTTGGTGTCGCAGCCTTGCATTCCCCCGGTGCTTCTCCCGGTGGTTTCCCACCTCTGGATCCCTCTAAGTTAGGGAAGAGCCACCTGACTGACCCTGGGCTCATGGTCTCTAGCCCTTCAGACCATCCTCGAGGGTGAGGTAGCGGTCTTACATCCCAGGGGAGGAAGTTGAAGCTCAGACAGGCCAAGGGGCTCCCCGGGGTCACACAGCCAGTGACAGTGGAGTCAGCACCATTCAGACTTCTGCTGACTCCCAAACTATCAATCTCTTGCCCCAGGCTGCCTCATCCCAAGAGCCCTGCCTTCTCTGCTGGAGAGCCCCACACGTGTGTGAGTGTGTGTGTGTGTGTGTGTGTGTGTGTGGGTAGCAGGGGCACTGGTGCATGCAGCCAGCATCATCATTTTCTCCTGATTTGAGCAGCTCCTGAGGACAGTTAGCATTTCTAGACTTTCACAAAATTGTGCGGTATTTGGCTCGAGCCCAGCGTTCAGTGGTTCACTAGCGTGAGGCTGATGTGGTACTTACCACCTCGTCATCGGGACTTCCCCGTCCTTAGGAGAATCGTGGTTTGGCTCCTGAATGGTGCTTGGTCTCCTTGGTGACAAAGGTCCTGATTGAGCTGCTGCCGATTCCCTGGCAGGGCAATGGCCTGTGGCGCCAGGCTGGTGTGCCCAGTGCTCTTCTGGGCAAGGGGCTGCCAGCCTGGCTTCTGAGGCTCCCTTCTTCCATAGTGGCCTTGTGTGAGGAGCTTCACCCTTGGAATTCCTGGGAGTTTGTGGCCCAGGGGAGAGACACAGTGGCCTTACGTCTTTTTAAAATGTTTTTCCATCCAAAGGGACACCATGGGCCCTAGGGCATGAACCATCTGTATTAGTTCAGAGAATATCTTAGTTCCGCTCAGCTGTAACAATGCACTGAAGGCACAGCTGTCTCCTGAGTCAATCAAGTAGGAAGCAAGAGAACGGAAGAACATTCTCTTCGGGGACAGTCTGGGCAGGAAAGTTGGGGCTGGCAAGCAAAGGCTCTTGGAGCACTGGAGCTCCTGAGTTTTGGAGGTGGGTGGAGAGAGCTTCCAGAAGGCTGTTGCAGACATGGGGAAGGATTGATTATGAACTTGGGGAAACAGGCCTTGGCCTCTCCCGAGTGGTGGTTGGTGTACCTGAAGTTTGGAAGGCCTCATCCCAGCCTTTGTGTGAGTGTGGCACCTGTGCACGCAGTTCTCTGACACTACATAGGTGACAGGTGCCCCTGGTGGCCTGGGCCCAGAGGCAGCGCTAGGAGGGCAGCACTCTGGCTTCCGGCCCTTTCTGGCTGGACTGACTCCTGGGCCGTGTGCACAGGGTGAGGGCGGCAGTCCGGTGGGGATGTGTCTCTCAGCCCAGATGTTGGTGATGGACCAGAAACCTGGGGGAGGCAGTGCCTCTGCTTCCAGTCATCTGGACATGGCAGGACCATCTTTGGGCCTTTGCAAACACAGTCCAATTTCCCCTCAATTTGAGCATCTGTTTTGGGGAAATGTGATTAAAAAAAAAAAATCTTGCTCTGTGATAGCCAATAAATCCTTCACTTAAAACCTGGTGATAATTTTGGAGTGCTTCCTATGCCAGGGATTTTAGGTCCCTGCAGCATCCTTGTACCAGCAAGGTAATGTTTTAATTTTTAAACACTGTGTTCCTAACAGGGGATGTCCGGGTCCATAAGAGCTCTCTGTCCTCCCACCCCGGCATCTTGGAGAGGATGCTGTATGTACCCACAGTGGCTGGGGCCTGTCACAAAAATCTCCCGGCCCAGAGATGTCACAGGAAATGGCTAGAGCCCAGCCCACCAAGGGTTGCTCTCCCCCATGTGGCAGGCAGGGCTGGTGGTGGCAGGGGTCACAGAGCAGTTATGAACACTGCTGAGAACCAGGGCAGGGAAAGGGCAGATGGCACGTGGTAGGCACGGGGCCCAATTCCTCAAGCAGAGGGAGGCACTCCCCAGGGACTCCCAGGAATGGCCGTGAGGAGCGTGGCATGGCTTGGCAGGCCCTTGCTAAACGTGGACCCTGGGAAGTGCTGTCACCCTGCTTGTTTTTCCCTTTCTTTTTCTCTTCCTGCCTCTTTTCTTCCTTTCCACCTGAGCGCCTCACCTAGATGAGAAGTGCCCCCCGCCACCTGAGGAATGCATCAGTCAGAGACCCTTCCTGGGACTCCCGCAGGCTCCCACCATCTGACCTGTGGAAAGAAGGATTGAGGTATTTATTGCTCTGAGAGCAGGTAGGAGATGTTTCCAAAACCTGTCTACCCCTGGGTGCTATGGAATCTGCATCACCCTCATTTTCCTAGAGCCTGGGGCCAGATGGGGGAGCTCACTTCAAATGCTCACACATCTGCGGAATGAGTAACCTCATCCCCTTGGCCTCTTCACCGTGAAGAGTTACAGTTATTAAAATAATTGACAAGCTCTTGGAGACGTCACCCCTCCACTGTTGAGAATCTAATAATAATAATATTGTGCCCAGTGTCTCTGGGCTTTGACAGTGGATTACTTATTTACCAGAGGCCCCAGGGTCACTGGCACATGCTTTCTTTTCCTAATAACCCCAACCTTGTGGCTCCCCTAAGGCTGGGGTGAGCTCTGTGTTCCTCTAGTTTCTGTAAGATGGTAACTTGGCAAAAGCTGTCATTAAACAGAAGCTAGGAGAAAGCCAAGCTTGTGGAATCAGAACGGGTATTGGCATTTACTGCTTTTTTCTTGAATTTCTGCATTTTTTGGCTTTTTCTTCTCCAAGACTGGGGTCCGTGGAACACAGGTGTCCTGGGAGATAGTAATAGCTGCTCTGAGAAAAGAGGGTTCCGTAGTCCAGAAAATTTGGGAAACACCACCTGGGTACTCGCTCTGAGATGCACAGGGTACATTAGCCTAGATAAAGTCAAGAAGTCCTGCAATAAAAACACCTTCTAAACTTTGTTTTAGCCAGGGACTCTCAAACTCACTTGACAGTAGGGCCTCCCATTTGGGGAGTATACATCAACAATCTCCAGATGTGCTAATGTTCCTTGGAACACACATTGGGAAGCACTGTTTTAGGGGGCCTGCAGCTGCTGATGACTCCTGGTTCTGTGTCCTCTGGGATGCTGTAGCTCATGGTTCTCTAACTTCAGAGCATCTGAGTCCTCCAGTGGGCGTGTTAAAACACAGACTGCAGGGCCTACCCCCAGAGTTTCTAATTCAGTAGGTCTGGGATGGGCCTGAGAATTTGTTTTCTAATGACTTTCTAGGTGATGATGAGTCTGCTGGTCCAGGAACCACCGTTTGGGGACCACTTCTCTTAGCTTGATGTTTTCTAGAAGTGGACATCCAGGAGTTCCAAGAAAACTTGGCATGTTTTTGAGTGTTGTCACCCTTCGTGAGTGTTGGCTGTCTTACCTGTTGAATGGGAGTATTGCTCACTTCCTAGGGCAGTGAGGATAACCAGCCTGGCGTGTGGACGGGGCCCAGAGCAGGACCAGTTGCTAAGTTTTAAATAAATCTTACCTTTGGGGATCCAGATGTTGAAACATACTATAAAACTTCTATAATTAAAACAGTATGGTACTGGTGCATGAATAGACAAGTAGACCAGTGGAATAGAATAAAGAGCCCGGAAATAGATCCAAGTACATGATAAAGGTGACATCTCAATGATTATTGGGGAGAAAGATGGATTTTTAAATAAATGGTGCTGAGATGACTGAGTAACCATTTGGAAAAAGGTAAAAATAGATCCATCTCTCACATCATACCTAAAAATAAATTCCAAGTGGTTAGGGATCTAAATGTAAAAAATGAAACCATGCAAGTACTAGAAGAATGAATTCTTCTTTAAAACCTTGATGTAG